CTATTTCCTCTTCGTTTTCACGGGATCAAGCCGAGGAAGCGCACCTAAGGGAGGAAGTTATCTTCTCAGCTAACGAGCTCTGTAGTTACTTCCGATCAAAATGCCACAACTACCGAACCGACAGGAAGAGAACGTCGGAGGAGGAGGTAGAGTCGGGCCAAGGCAGTGGAATCGGAGGCCACTCCTGGTGCTGGCGACGGGTAAGTAGGAGACAGTGTTATCTCGGTCGAGTTCAGAAGGAAGAGGCTCGACCTCTTGCGGCTAGGGGTTTGACAGAAGGAGTCCGGCGGGATAGGTAAATCGGGAGCAGCTCGTGGATTCCGGCTTCAAATGGTTAGAGATGAAGCCTCTCTCTCTCTCTCTGTGAACCGAAAGGAGGATCGGGATGGAGACAAGGGTCGTGGGAGAGAGCTCGGTCGGAAGCAGAGGGGTTCGGTTGTGGAGAGTGGAAGAGCAGAGGAGAGTCGTATGGGATCGAGCGGAAGGAAGCAGCGACTGAAGGGGATGTCTCGGCTTCTATTTAACAACGCAAAATAGCACGATTCGGCGGGATTTCTGCATGGATCGCATGAGAGATCTCTTTCGGCGCCGTTTTGCAGAGAATCGAGCGGGACTTCGGCAGGATTTGTGGAGAGCTTCGGCAGATTTCGTGGATCCGTCGGGTAAGAGGTTTGTATGCAGGATTTTTCTTTGCTTTCATCTCCCTTTGTTTCCTTTGGTTATAACATGATGGTCAACAAATGCCCCCCAACAAATGTGATACGCGTCTAAAGCGAATCACGTTTGTTGTATGCTGATTGACCCTGTGGATCTCTAGATGTTGTTTCTAGCTGTCACACTAGGGTTTCTATTTAGTGGATCTCCAAAATTTATTTGGATGTCACATTGAGATTTTCCTGTAGTGGATCTCCAAAATTTTGCTTGGATGTCACACTAAGATTTTCATTTAGTGAATCTCTAAAATTTTGCTTGGATGTCACATTAAAACTTTCCTTCTCCATAGGGCTCTTAGATGTGTCAATAGGTGGTTGAGATATTGATTTCTTTCATCCTGTGCTTTGTGCTGTGGACATTGATGGAGGATTACCTGACTTTTCTTTGTTGACTTGTTAGGTGGTTTTTTGTACCTTCGGACCTATGCTTCTTGCTTTGGCGGGCATGTTAAAGGAGTAGATGCCGATGACCTAAACCCTTAGGTTTGTATTAAGTCGATGGCAAGAAGTCATCGGTCTAGAGCTTTGTGCATAACAGACTTATTGATGACAAAATCCACTTTTCTTCGATCCTTTGCTTTGTGCTTTGGCTTACTTGTTGAAGAAAAATTCATTCGATCCTCGCTTTTTGCTTTACGGATTTGTTGAAGGATTTGCAGGTTCTGGGCTCT